CAGGCTACATGAGTTGAATACTCCCCAGGGAGTTGGGTTGGTTAACACAATGCTAGAAAAAAAAGACATCCGTTGATCAAGGGAACGCTCCAGGGCCTTGAACATGTACTAGTTGCGTGGATATGTGTGCTATATAAATATTTTATAATAATCGATCAACTTGCTGGACGCAACACTAGGCGTGACGTTCACAAAAGAGCGTGCTGTATGCACCCCGCGTGGTTCATCACAGTAGACAAGGGCGGATGCGTCAGATTGGTATTCGTCCATATCAACTGCATTGTGCGACCCATGTTCAATATAATTCATTTCTCCAAATGTGAAGTTACCTCTTCTGTTCAGTAATATATGAACAACACAGGACCATGCTGTTTGTATTTGATTGCAACACCGAATAGTCGATCAAATATTTGATTGCAACACCGAGTAGTCGATCAAATATTTGATTGCAACACCGAGTAGTCGATCAAATTCTCAAGAAGTTAAAACGTTTTGTAATCCTTTGAGGTTTAAACTGTAAACAATAAACTGATATTTGGTTAAATGGTTCGTGTACTAACGCTTTTTGTTTACTAGATATACTAATGTATTATCAGGTGCTAAGTCCATGTACTCACGCTATTTGTCTACTAGATGTACTGATGTATTATCAGGTGCTAAGTCAATGTACTAACGCCATTTGTCTACTAGATGTACTGATGTATTATCAGGTGTTAAGTCCATGTACTAACGCCATTGTCTACTAGATGTACTGATGTATTATCATGTGTTATGTCCATGTACTAACGCTATTTGTCTACTAGATGTACTGATGTATTATCAGGTGCTAAGTCAGTGTACTAACGCCATTGTCTACTAGATGTACTAGTGTATTATTAGGTGTTATGTGCATTTACTAACGCTATTTGTCTTCTAAATGTACTGATGTATTATCAGTTGTTAAGTCCATGTACTAACGCTATTTGTCTACTATTGGTGTACTAGAGATACAATACGACGATTAGTTGCGCTATTGGTCGGATACTTCATGTCGAAATGCGTAGTACATTGCAGTGATAATTCTTAACACACGCTCTCATAACGATTCAAAAGACACCTAAGAATGAACAAGCAGATTTATGCAAATAGCCTCCTCCTGACGAGCAAAGGAACACGGATGTAAGCGATACGCCACTCTTCCTTGTCAAACTGATCTCATCGCGTCAAACATGACATTACATGCCATAAACAACTTGTCTCGCAGGTTTTTAAACTTTTCAAAATAAACGTAGCTGTTCTTTCAATGTGTACGGCGACACATAGACGGCAACACGTGATCCAGAATTTGAGTCTGTGTGAGACGGGTGTCTGAGGTTTGATAATGCATTCCATTAACTACCAAGGCCAATTCAATTTCTTTATTCAGCATAAAGGCGAACGGTCAATATGACACAAATTAGTCATGAATCGATATACGAGAACCAACATTGAAGGACTAATATATTGACGTCTACTTCCGGGTTGTACATTACGCGCCCCTCTCATTGGTTGAAATGGGAGAGAATTGTGCACTGTTGCCAAGAAGGTCGATTTAAGTTAATTAAAGGTCGAAATGAGTAGTTTTAATGACCGGGTTTCATTTATAACGATGCCAATAAATCATTTATGTATTTGTACCCCCGTAGAGTATATGTGATCTTTAACGGCTGGGGTGCTTGGCACTGGTGACGTCAAGGATACAACGTTGTACCGTTTCAAGTTTGCTGGGTCGTGATCTGTGTCATCGATAGCCAAGCCTTCTAACATTTAGCTGTGCCTTACTGTGTGCATTAGACGTATCGGACGTTATGGTCGGGGTTCGAATCCCACGTTAATATACTCTTAAAAAAACCCAAATATTCACATAGGACAAATTTGAATTTTAGGAAAATATTTGACACAAACCAATCCATGCTGAATCCTCACGTCTGTAGTGAATCGCTAAAACGGTCCCAACATGAAATGCACGTGCATCATGAAATTGTGTATCACCCTGAGCTGAAGCATATGACTGTAGGCTTTAAAAAACCAAATCAATGGTACTCCACCTGCTTTGCTTTAAGCCACTAGGACAAGAGGATGAAAAGACTGACAGACACAACGCCCTCGGCCGTTTACAAGGACGGACATCGAAGCATGATGTGGCAAGGCACTACAGCGTGTCCAGGCAGACCATCTCAAACAATGCTGGGAGTGTTAATGACAGACCCAGGTCAGGTCGACCTGGAGTTACCACCGCCGCCCAGGATGGTTACATCCGGTTGAGACATTTTCGTTCAAACACCACGGCCGCATCATCCACAACAATCCAAATCCCTGGACTGCTCCGAATCTCCGACCAGACAGTGCGCAAAAGGCTATGGAAAACCAGACTTTTTGCCAGAAGACCAGTTCAATGTCACGTCGTTCCCTACATCAACGTGATCTTTGGAGCACATGTTTGACATGCCTTCTTCCAGCAAAACAATGTTCAGTTTTACATTGGCCTTCTCGATCACTGGATTTGTTCCCCACTGAACATCCATGCGGTACTCTTGATCGCCGCTTGCACCAGCGTAATCCGCCATCTCAGACACTACAAGAACTGCACACAGCACTTCAGCAAGTGTATCAAAACATTCCCCAAGACAGCATTCGGCATCTCCTTTCTTCTATGGGTCACCGCTGCCGAGCTGTTATCGATGCTCATGGTGGTCACACCAGATACTGACATTTTACTCTGACCAATTGGTTTTAATAACCCTCTGTGGTTTTACCGAACACTTTCTGGATAATCATGTTTTGGAACTTTGTAAAGAGGTGTTTCAGTGTAACTGAGCAATGATGTCAGTTATAGTTTATACTAAACTCTAAAAGAGCATGTCAAGTTTCTTTTGTGAAGAGTATATTTCAAGGTACACCAGGACTTATTTTCGAGAATGTCATCAAAGTCGTAACGTCTGCATCCCTGTCGTATGTCCTTTTCATTATGTTGACATATAGCTGAAACTTTGTCCAAACACACGTCTTCACACATTCAATTACATGTGTACATTCAATCCCGTTGTGATTCCGTGACCCTCAGAATTGGTCTTCAGCAACCCATCCTTATCGTAGGAGGCGACTTACGGATCAGTGTCGCTACTTGGTTGACACACGTCATCGTATCCCAATTGTGTAGATCGATGCTCATGATGTTGATCACTGCATTGTCTGATCCAGAGCAAATTATTTACAGACCGACGCTAAATAGCTGGAATGTTGACGAGCGCGGCGTTAAACAACAACCAAATCAAAAAACAAAACAAACCTTTCAATCAGCTAATATATACATAACAGTCATATAACAGTATCTTTGTCCAAACACACGTCTCAACACGCTCAATGACATCTATACATTTAATCCCGCAGCTGTCATTCCGTGACCCTTCGTGACAATGTGTGACCCTTCGTGACAATGTGTGACCCTTCGTGACAATGTGTGACCCAGCTGACTGTATCATGGTACAGGTCTGTGTAATAGTTCACCAAAGGACATCATGATTTCGAAATCAACTGACCGATTTGTTTTGACTTGATGACAATATCACCGTTTACAATAAAACGTAAACTGACGTAAGAAAGAATGGACCCCCCTGGAAATAAATTTTGGAAAGTTTGTTGCCCTCCCAAAAAATAATAACAAACAAACAAACAAAAAACCAAAAACAAAACAACAACAACAAAACAGAAACAAACAACAAAAGCCAAAAATAAGCAAACAAAACAACAAAAAACAAAACAAACCCAACAAATAAGCAGAAACAAGCCAAAATACAAACAAAAAACTAACAAACAGAAAACATAACATAAATAAAAAAACAACTAAAACAACTAAACCAACAACAGCAACAAAAAAACAAATAAAAACAACAACCATGCACACAAACAAAACACACACAAAAAAAACAAACAAGAAATAAAAACAAACAAATAACAAAGGCAGTACATGTTATTTACATGATGCAGGGGTAAGCTTGCTTTTTGCTTTTTGAAGACCTATTCTACCCCGGATCTTCATGGGTCTCTAACAATATAAAGGTGGGGGACACCACATATAGGCCTCACACATTGTACCAATGGGGAGAATCTTCGGCCTGACGAGCGAACGCTTTGACCGCTAGGCTACCCCACCGCCCCTTTGAGTCAGGGAGTCGAATGGCGTATTTTGTGACGTTTCTGTAAATTCTCCCCACCGCTCCAGATATTCTTGGGATACACAATACGAGTATAATAAAGCGACACCCTTTCCATATCCATAAGAAATCTCTGCTAAAAGCACTCACTAGATTGCAGGAATCTGAACTGCAAGTGCTTATGAATCATCAGCAATTGCTCTCGAAAGGTGACCCTATCCTGCCACACGGCGCAACCGTCACAAACACATGCAAAGTCTAGTCAATTGTTCACATGAAAAACTCGGGAACGTCTGGTACAAGTCAAAAAGGGGCATTGCATCGGTGATATTGTTGGTCACAGGTACGCAAATTTTCAAGTGTCCTCCACATGTCTACCATTAAACGTTTTAAAAACTTTATTAAGGCCTTAAGTGTTGTAACCTTGATCGAACAACTTCTAAACACAAAGTCGTATGATGCTCTTTGAAATCGTAGGGAAAAGAGCTTGTTCCGATATACAATAAAAGGCTGGAGCTAATGGGTTATTACACATGGCGGGAGAGCTGACTCTTGAGAAGTAGATATTTTTGTCAGTTTTCAACTCGCTTTGTCAGTAACCGACACCAAGGAAACAAACAAACACCGTGACTCACGCTGTTTTAGTACGAGTTACCTTGTCCCACAATATTCTAGAGATTTTGAGTGGGTTATTTGATCTTCACCATGACGCTACCGAGGGTGACAGGTGCGTTGCAGTAGATTGATACCCGGATTTGGGAGGCGATACCATGGGGTACACGCCCATGTAAGGAGGAGTGACACTGGTGTGGTCGTGATATATAACGTGACATTTTGATGCAACACCACACTTACCAAGAGACAGGTAGCAGGCAACTTCGTCAAACAACTGCAACTTCGGGCACGACAGACTCTTCTCGATAGGTAGGTGTTAACACATTCTACATTGTGTTGCATAAAAAATTATTTTTCTAAAATGATCTCAAGCTAGTGTAGTATATATTGTCAAAATATAGTTATACTGTCCTTCGATGACGAGTTTCAAGAAAGTATAACTATATTCGTTAACAACCATCTTCGTCAAATAACTGCGGCTATGGGGACAACAGACTCTTCTCAATAAGTAGGCGTTAACATATGTTGTATAGGGGACAAATCAGGATGTAATAAATGCTATCAGACATCTAAAATGTAACAAATCCCCAGGCGGTGATGGTATTCCCGCAGAGTTTTCTGAACATATAATAGTCAAAGTGTTTATTGTATTTAAGGCCTCCGACCCACATACAAGGAGAATACATGGTATACATATATAAATACTCACAATAATACAAGGAGAATACATGGTATACATATATAAATACTCACAATAATACAAGGAGAATACATGATATACATATATAAATACTCACAATAATACAAGGAGAATACATGATATACATATATAAATACTCACAATAATACAAGGAGAATACATGATATACATATATAAATACTCACAATAATACAAGGATGAAAGGAATAAAGTTAATCAATGCTTAACAGTTCATTTCTTAAAGATAACGCATGTGTTACATATAAGGCAAGTTGGAGAATAACGTTTTCATTATTTGAGGATAAAATTGACACAAAAGCAGCTTCGGGATATTTTGACTGATATTGCATTGGTATATGTTTGGTTCTTAGATCAACATAAAATGGACAGGAAAATGTAAAATGGATTTCATTTTCAATCGCTGAATGACATAAAGGACATAATCTTAAACATTTCTCTATTGACAATCTTCTACCCTTATTTACGAATAGGTCTGAAAGACCAAGTCGATACTGAATAAATTTGCGCCTGAGATTTTTGAATGTTAGCACAGATAAGTATTTTTTTTCTGGTTGAATGAGACTCTTGAAGGACCTATATAGATCATAACGTGAACTTGTTTCTAATGTGAAATGCCATTCTTGATGATACATGTTGATTGATTGTTCTCGAAATTGGTTAAGAAATAGGGCAACATTGCCAACTGTTTGATTTAACCAGACAAACCCAAAACCGTGAGAAAATAAAAGGTTTCTTAGATGTGACGCCCATGTTGTTTTACCAATGTTATCTAGATTGAGAAGCATATTATAAGCTAATTTTGGAATTCGTCGTTCGTGCATTCCGAAAATCTTAAACCAATACATTAAGCATCTTATTTTTGAGTTGATAAAAAGAGGGTATCTACCACACTCGCCATATATCATGCAGTTTGGCGTTGATTTACCAACCGATAAATTTTTTTTACAAGCAATTTCTCAATACAATCATGTTTTTGGAACCCCCAAATTTCTGAGGCATATAGGATTATGGGTTGAATTTGAGAATCAAACAAGTTAAAGTATATACTATGGGTTAAAACGCCTAAGTTCTGGGATACAGTCATGAGGCTGATTAATGCTTTCTTGGCTCTTGATGTCAAATCAGTAACACTTTTCTTGAAATTCATTGTATGGGTAAACAGTACACCCAGATAAGTATAGTGATTAGCAATAGTAATCAACTTTCCATTTAGGGACCATTTCTCATTTTTTGCGACAGGGCCTCATCTTCTAAAAATGACAACATTTGTTTTGTCAAAATTAACTGACAGTTTCCAATCATGTGTATAACGTTCTAGGATGTTAAGTTGATTTTGTAGTCCAACTATAGTATCTGATACTAGGATAACATCGTCGGCAAATAGCAAAATCAATATTTCAGTCATGTCGGGAAACATTTGTATTCCATGTTTACCGCAATTTGTAATTTCAAAATACAATTCACTTATAAAGAAAGAGAACAAAATTGGACTTAAAATACAGCCTTGTCGAAGTCCAACTGGGCAAATCAAAATAGTCGGTGGTATCATACCCACAACGTCCACGTGATTTTATTTTGGAATACATAGATTTTAGAATATTATACATTTTGCCTTTAAAACCAGCCTTTCGTAAACATAACCATAATTTATGCCGATCAACATAATCAAACGCCTTTTTAAAGTCAACAAAAGCCACATACAATTTATGTTTACGGCGCGTTAAGCATTTTTGGATAATTGCGTATAAGGTGAATATATGGTCACAACTAGAATAGTTTTTTCTGAAGCCCGCCTGAGCCTCTGGAATTAGATCATGCAGCTTAGACCATTTTGTAATTCTTGTATTCAATATTGATGTAAATATTTTTCCAAGGATGCTCATTAAGGAGATTCCTCAATAATTATCTGGATTATCAAAACAGCCTTTCTTGTGTATTGGAATTATAATTGAGCACGCCCAGCTTTTTGGAAATATACAACTTTCGAATATGGTATTATAACATTTTTGGAGAAAAGGTAAAAGCTCTGTCGTCGAACATTTTATCATTTCAATTATAATTTGATCAGGACCTGGCGATTTACCATTCTTTAAGTTAGATATAGCTTCCTTTATTTCGATTTCTGAAATGGGGGTGTCTAAAATATGCATATCTAAATCATTATCGGGGTCAGGCAAATCGTCCATAAAATCATGCTGTGTATCAATGTCATTAAAAACTGATTCATTCGAGAAAACATTCTTGAAATGAGTAAGCCATTCTGTTTTTGAAATGTTTGATCTTGGACTTGACGTTTCTCGAAATGTCCGAAGCAATTTCCAAAATTTAGAAGTAGAGTGTATGGAGTCAGTAATTTTTGCACCTTTTGTATAGAAATATCAGTCTTATATTTTCTGTAGCAAGCTTTATACTTGTTTCTCATTTTGCAAAAATGTTTTCTGTTATGGTCTGTTCGTCTACGCCGAAAAACCCTCAAGGTTTTACGGGCGTCTCTCCTGGCAGCTTTACATTCCTTACTTAATTGTATTTTACTTGGGTGCTGAGATGACCTGAGTTGTTTCTTCATACAATCTGCTGAGTCTAATAACACATGAACAAGATCATCAATAGCTCCATTAACATCAAAATCAAGTTTCTCGAGGAGATGTTCATAGCAAGGAGTTATCAGTTTCTTTAGGTTACTCAAAAATGTTGTTGAAAATGAATCGTTCCAAAAAAGTTTTTCTTTGACATTGTTGACTGAATCATTGACATTAGAGTTGACATTACTGAACTGACAAGTCATTTCCAAAGGAAATGATCAGAATCTACTCCATCTCCAACACTAAACATGTTTATAAATTGGAAAAAAATCTGGTGAACAAATAAAATAATCATTCACACTAGACCCTTGTTGGCCACAATATGTAAATTCACCACTAATATCACCGTATACTCTACCATTCACTATATACAACTGGAGTGCATAACACCCATCTAATAGCATTTGACCAAAGCTGTTAACAACAGTGTCATCAATAGGATAATGTTCTTCATCAATAAAATGCATGTTATTGTTTGTGTTATCATCATCATCAACTGTGACAGGTACATTGTTCAACTCACCTGTACGTGCATTCATATCTCCACACAAAACGTTATATGAATATGATAGGTCTTGTAAATTGTCTAAAAAGAATTGTTCATTGTACATTTGGAAGTTTTGTTCTTATAATACGTTGAACCTGTTGGTGGGATATAAGTGCAAAATAGATTGACATCTTTGTTAGTGGAAAACAATTGTTTTGACAGTTGTAACCAAATAAAATTATCTACGTCACATGTCATTTGTTTGTACATCTTTCTAAAACGTTCATGAATACATATACACACGCCACCTGAAAGACGTCCATATTTAGACAATTTGATTGCAGGGCTATAAAATATATCATAACCATCTAACCAATGAATATTTAACATATCCTGGACAAATGTCTCCATGAGACTTTTTGCAACTTCGTGAGATAATTGGAGAATATCGGTGGATTTAAGACAGACCATTCGACTGTGGACAGTATCTTATTCTCCAGACAATCATTTAGAAGTATTTAACACATAAGAATGGGAAAATACTAGGCACAGAAAGAAACTGTGCATACACAAATTTAAAATCTAAATTTATCAAACCTGTATAGACACATAAGGATTCAAACTCAGAGATTAGTGACATGTATCCAACATGCATGCACGTGCCAAGTTCCGTGACGTCAGTGGGTTCGTCCTTGAGACGTGCAATACGTTTTTGCACGTGCATTCCGGGAAAGAGAAACAGAGCAAATGAATGCCACACAATACTGTCACTTTGGAAAGCTCAACCCCTGTTTAAAAAATTAAACGGCTATTGAAACGCATAGCATGCCAAGGCTCACGTCTGCACAACGTCTTGAGGCCATTGGGATGGTCCGTGGGGGAATGTCTCAACGACAAGTGGCTGCACATTTCCACTGCCACCGGAACACCATTTCTGCACTGGTGAGACGCTACCAGAACACAAATGACATCATCGATCGGCCACGTTCTGGACGTCCACGTGTAACAACGCCAAGTAAAGACATATGGATAAGGGTGACCAATCTTCGCCACAGGTTGGAGACTGCAGTGATGACTGCCCGAACCATCCCAGGACATCGCCGTATCCACCCCAATACAGTTCGATAACGTTACGTCATCGCGGGATCAAACCACGACGTCCCGCCATATGGCCTATCCTGACACAACGTCATCGACAAGCTCGCCGAATGTGGTGCCGAAATCATGTCCGCAGACCCTTGTTTTGGTGGAGAAATGTTGTTTTTTACAGATGAGTCCAGGTTTAACATTTCCCATAGTGATGGACGTCAACGTGCCTATAGACGCGTGGAGAACGTTATGCACAGGCCTGTGTCTTGGAGAGGAATCGCTTTGGTGGTGGTTCCGTGATGATTTGGGGTGGAATAACAGCACGCCAAAGAACTCCTTTGGTGATTGTTCAGGGCAACTTAACTGGTGTGGGCTACAGGGATCAGATTCTTCGACCTGTGGCACTTCCTTTTCTGCAACGTCATGGCCCTGGGTTAACATTCCAACAGGACAATGCCCGCCCTCATACGGCAAGGGTTGCTATGGATTTCTTGCAACACCACAACGTTGACTTACTGTCCTGGCCTGCAAATTCACCGGATCTCTCCCCGATAGAGCATGTTTGGGACGAGATGGATCAACGTCTACGCCGTCTTCCTCATCCGCCAGATAACGTCCTTGACCTTGCAACAGAACTTGAGAGAATCTGGCGTGACATCCCACAAGCCTTCCTTGCACGTTTGATAGGCTCTATGCGTCGTCGTTGCACTGCTATTCTCAATGCCGATGGTGGACATACCCGTTATTGAGCTTGTGATATGGTCGTTTGACCCCTGTCCCGCTTGTGGACTCGTGAATGTGATTGACTTTTCAATTGAAATTCTCCCGACTTGTTATGGTCTCATGATCCCTCCATGAAAGTTTATATGTACCCTTGACATTGTTATCGTACTTATCAACTGGGATACTATTTTGACAATGCACAGTTTCTTTATGTGGCTAGTATATATTGCATTCATAGATTTTCGCAAGGCCTTTGACATGGTGAATAGGTTTGAATTACTGTATGTTCTTTTGCAAAATGGGATCCATGGAAATTTTTCAAGTTGATTAAAAATATGTATACATGTACTAATGTCAAGGCCACTGTAACCTATGAGTATGGTAAGAAATTAACTGAATATTTTGATAGCGCCTGTGGGGTTCGGCAAGGCTGTGTCCTTAGTCCGGTATTATTTTCTTTATATATTAATGAGCTTGTATTGACCTTAGAAAATAAGTTTGATGATGGTATATTTATCTCCGAAAATATGTTGAATATTATTGCTCTGTTATTTGCAGATGATTTGGTTTTGATAGCTGATACTGTTGTTAGATTACAGCGCCGCCTTGACGCCCTACATATGTATTCCCATAAATGGGGCATGGATATTCATACTGATAAAAGTAAAATTATTGTTTTTAAAATGGGTGGACCCTTGTCCAAACACGAAAAATGGTTCTATAATGGCATTCGAATGGAAACTGTCAATATTTATAAATATCTAGGACTTATGATAACTCCCAAATTGATTTGGACTAGGGCATGTAAATCATTATCTGATCAAGCTAATAAGGCACTGTGGCCGATCAAGTCATTTATAAGACGATATGATATGTCACTCTCAGAAGGATTTATATTTTTGATAAAAAGATTTTACCAATTCTAACATATGGTGCTGAGATATGGGGTTTTAAAAAGACAGAAAGTATTGAAATTGTCCGTCGAAAATTTTGCAAATTTTTACTTCAGATTAGTTACAGATCATCTAATGCTGTTGCATATGGGGATGTGGGAGGGCACCCTTAAGCAATGTTTATTATGTCAAATGTATTAAATACTGGCTAAGATTATTAAGAATGCATCACAGTAGATATCCATATCAATGTTATCAATTTTTAATATCTGAAATTGAATTCAGGAAACGTCCCACATGGGCTCGGCATGTCAGTGATTTGTTATTTTATCTTGGCTTTGGTACTGCTTGGATTTCACAAGATGTCGGTGATACAAAAATGTTTCTATATATGTTTACTGAAAGAATTAACAACTGCAAAAGTGGCATTTGTCCCTAGATGTTCCTTCGCTGTCTTTCTATAAGTCCCATAAATCTCTGTTGACCTGTGAAAAATATTTATCATTGAACATACGTAATAAGTGCAAGCGTCTGTTCACATTATTTCGATCAGGGTGTAATGCACTAGGTATCAAATATATTAGAAGAGGTACTGCCTCCTGCAATGATGATATTGTGTAATGTAAACACTGTAAAAGTATTGAGGATGAAATCCATATTGTCTATATTTGTAAACGCTATGAGGATATGCGTCGGCGTTACATTCCGAAAACGGTCCATGGATATTATTATTCACTCCGCAGCATATGTACATCATCCGACAATAACATCATAAATAATTTTGTCCAGTTCTTAGAACATGTTGATTCTGCTCCTGTTAGCGTTGTTGTATGAAAATGGTAACTAAAATCACTATTGTACCACCTTGTACGATGGGTCGTATGGCCTTTATACAAAATAAACCCTTCTTCTTCTTAAATACATTCTTTATTGTGTTGTGGTATAGTATTTTGATATTTTGAAATGATCTGAAGCTAGCGTAGTATATTTTATCATAATATAGTTGTTTTTCTGTCCTTCGATGAAGGGTTTCAAGAAAGTATAACTATATTCGTTGACAGCCAACTTCGTCGAATAACTACAACTGCGGGCACTACAGACTCTTCTCAATAGGTAGGTAGGTGTTAACACAAACTTGTGTATCTGGATTGTGTCACTTGCTCACCTACTCCAATGTTTCAGTATAGGGCCTGTAAATCTCACTAGGCGCTACTTCCGGTACTAAGCTGGTTCCTGGCTCCCTTTGCGAGCGCGAATTTGCGATATGCGGGACGGGGCCCAGCTTACTTCCGATACCAGATTTCCGGTGACAAGCGTATATTGGAGAACCAGTTCTGGTTCCAAATTGCGCGACCACCAAATACTCTACTAGACCGGACCAAGTGTACAACTATGCCTGGCTGTCACAGCTGTTGACAGTCGTAATAGTTGACTAATTTGGGGAATGTTAGATCGGGAATTTGTTATTCCTGCAAGGATTATCGGTTCCTTATTGTCAACTGACAATCATGCGACCATTCGAAAAGGTATGAAACGTCGTTTGTCACCAGAAGTACTAAGGTTTTGCGAAGTGCCGTAACCTACTTTCGGGCCCTATACAAGCATTAATAATGGTCGCCAGTATGTTGGCTTAATTGTGGTTGATGGCGATCGATAGCCCAATTCTATACTGTGTTGAATAATAATTTAGCATTTTAAAACGTATTAAATATTTTTTGTCATATTATAGTTTTCTATAAAGAAGAACTATAAAAGAAGAACTGTGACTTTCTGTCGTCATGACTTTCTGTCGTCAGGACATGGCTGAAATGTTGCCAATGTGACGGAAAAACTCAGTCACTCAGCCGAACAGCAGTCTCATACAGAAATACATACAATTTGCATCTGGCACAGATTTATAACGTGCGGCTTCTTGAAAATCCCGAGTTGTTCTATCAATTTCTAATAACTGTAGAGTCACTGGCTTGTCTTTGACTATTTGAAAGAAATGCTTTTAAATTGTTTTCAGCCCACATTCGACAAGATTGGGGTGGTCTTACTGCACTGACCCTCGAAGGTTTATGTACACTTGTACGATATGGATTGTTTTCGTCTCACATTCATCAGACATACTATGAATTTAGAGAAACATCACTGGATACGTCATTCGACTCACGGACGCAAACACGTTTTGTTTTCAGTCTCACCATGAATGTGAACAGAGGGAACTGGTTCGCGGTGATTGTCCTCGCTCTCGGTGTTCATGCAGTGTCTGGCCAGAGTAAGACTGAGATAAACATTCAGTACATCACCTCATCAATTTCAATATAATAATTTGCACGGTGTTGTCTGGCCCAGACTTGATTACAGACAATACCGTCATAAGAGGAAGTTTACTTTACGTGGCGTTAAGCCAGCTAAGAAATATTACAGAAGTCGATTTTCGAATCAGGTGCTTTTCAAATTCATTTATTTGGGTCGCATTGCCTGTGACTTGTGATTGTGTATTAAAATCCGAAAACTTTGGAGGCTTGGGCTCAGTAAAAGTCCAAACAAGCTTATGTTTGGTCATTTGTCCCTTGTTGATGCGTTTATTCATCTGGAAGCTGCATGTTACCATATGATTTTACCAAATTTGAGTATTCGAAGGCATAACGGGAAAATAATAAACAATGTCGATTTGGCCACTTAAAACTTATAAAACGTTTAAAATGAAAATTGAACTAATGTTTGGAAACCCTTTTGAACACATACTTCTGTTTCAGACTGCGCGCACCTGTTGGATGTCGTAGCCGTTGTAGATGGCTCTGACAGCATCTTAGATGACGAATTTATCCTTCTGAAGGATTCCCTTATTCAGTTGACAAACTGGCTGAACCTTGGAGAGGAAGGTCAAATGTTTGGTGCCGTGGTGTACAGTTCGTCTGTATCTGACGTAGCACACCTCAGCACCAACCGGTCCCAGCTGCAGACCCAGATAAACCAGTTTGAACACCCCCAGGAAGGAACAAACACGCACCTTGGAATCGCCAAAATGACCGAGATTATGAGGAATGAGAGTCGTCCTGGCGTTCCCAAAGTAGGCATCGTCATCACCGACGGACGGTCACGTTATCCCGAGAGAACTGCTCAGGAAGCTACAGCTGCTAAGGCGATCGGCATTGAGATGTTTGCAATTGGAATCGGTTCAAGTATCAGAATATCAGAACTGAGAGACATTGCCTCATCTAACGCCAATGTCAAGAATATCAGCTCTTTTAGTGAACTCAACAATATTACCCTCAGTCTGGTACAGAAGGTCTGCAAAGGTAGAAACAAAACATAATGGAGAATAATAAAAAATAAGGGAAATAAATAAAACGTAAGGGAGGAATGAAACATAAGAGAGAGAATAAAACAAAAGGGAGGGAATAAAACATAAGGGAGGAATGAAACATAAGGGAGAGAATAAAACATAAGGGAGGAATGAAACATAAGAGAGAGAATAAAACATAAGAGAGGAATGAAACATAAGGGAGAGAATAAACATACGGGAGGAATGAAACATAAGGGAAATAAATAAAACGTAAGGGAGAAGTGAAACATAAGAGAGAGAATAAAACATAAGGGAGGGAATAAAACATAAGGGAAATAAATAAAACATAAGGGAGGAATGAAACATAAGAGATAGAATAAAACATAAGGGAAAAAATAAAACTTAAGGGAGGAATGAAACATAAGAGAGAGAATAAAACATAAGGGAGGGAATGAAACATAAGGGATGAATAATACATAAGGGAGAGAATAAAACATAAGGGAAATAAAGAAAACATAAGGGAGGAAATAAAACATATGGGAGGAATGAGAATAAAACATAAAACATAAAAACATAAGAGGGAATACAATGTAAAGTAGATAAATGTAAATGTATTTATTAAGTGTATATATCTACTCCGTTATCATCTGATGAAATTCTCTCCCGACCATTTCTAAATGTCGTTCAAGTTGTTTTTTTTAAATATTGATTATTTACATGCCACTGTCATGTTGCCTGGAACCCGTGAAGATCTGGTTTAGAATTGGTCTTGAACAACCCATGCTGTCGTGAGGCGCGATTTACTGGATCGGGAGTTTAGACACATAAATAAAAGAAATAAAACAAAAGGGAGTGAATAGAACGAAGGGGACATAATAAAACGCTAGGGACATTATGAAAAATAGAAGTAGGAATAAAACATAAAGGGAGGTAATAAAACATAGGGGAGAGAATAAAACATAAGAGGATACTGTCCATGTTTCAAGGAACAGTATTACATTGTTTTGTATATATTTTCAATAAACGTAATGCAAAATGTTCCAATATCTATGTTACGGTCATGAGACATGGCAATTGTCTGCCCTCTCGAGAAGATGAAACACGATTTTTCAAAAATGTCCTTATAGCCACACATCTTTAGTTAGAACCGGTAATCTCACGGTACTAAAGTTGACACTTCTTTATAAATTCTCAAATAGGTGCCGCTCTATAAGTAAGCGAGTTATTGTAGCAATTAACATGAAAATCGAAGCCAAACATTCATCAAACATTTTGTATATCTAAATTAAACCAAAGATGATGAACTTTTGTGTCAATCTAAATTTAGGTTCGCCTTCATATCCACCTTTAATCTTTCGCCTGCCTTTACATATGTCATATCTTGTATATCGGTTATTAGAAATAATACTTGACGTACTGATTTTGAAATATCCTTCCCTCTATTAATTATGAGAGTCAGCCTTCAGGACATTTCTGTATTTCATCGATTCACTCATATAAATGTCACCAGTTTCAGCAAAGAATCGAGATTGATAGTCTTTGGCGTTGAGGTTTTGTGTTGAACCATGTCAATCTGATATTGAGCTTACTCTTAAATTAGAAATGTACATTTGCCTTCTTCAAATTTAAAAAAAGAAGCTAGTGAAAAAAACGAAAAGTATATTTTTTCAGAAAAGAGCTATGGGAATTGATAGAGACCATGGCTGAAACTAAATTAAACCTTTAACTCTTGTACTCTTTGGAATATAAACATATATTCATCAATCTGGACTAGTGGATTAAAATGTCACACATCTTTTTCTAAATGCATATATGGATTTGAACATATTTGTGTTTATGCTTCCTTGATATCTGTATCATCTGTTCTTATGGCAACAGTTGACGGAAACTGGACCGAGTAGACGGACACTACCGGTGTGTGTTCTGTATCCTGTGGAGGAGGCTCTAGAACCATCTACAGAACCAGGACCTGCACCAACCCAGCACCCAGCAACGGCGGACGGGACTGTGAAGGATCACCTTCAGATCGATACACAGAGGTTTGCAACACCAATGGCTGCCCAGGTTTGTCATAGTCGTATATCTAAAACATTTGCTGTTGGCAGTATAAAACTTGGAAAGTTAATACTGAAAAATAACCCCCCCAAAGATATCATCCATAGATGTAAAAACGTAGAAAAGGTGTTTGTTAGAGATACCTACACATTATATACAGGTACAAATAATTACATGCACATATACATTCTGACTTAGCTGTTCTTTTTACACAAAGTTGACGGAAACTGGACTGAATGGACGGTTACTGAGGGAGTGTGTTCAGCATCTTGTGAAGGAGGCTCCAGAACCATCTCCAGGAGCAGGACCTGCACCAACCCTTCTCCTACCAACGGTGGAGAGACCTGTGTAGGATCACCTACAGATCGATACACAGAGATTTGCAACACCAATCGATGTCCAGGTACGTTTAGCCAGATGCTAAAGTGTTAACGCCGTAGATGCTAGTCTTTGAGAAACAATATTCCAGGTACACTAGCATATGTCTATATGACAGACAATATGTACTTGTAGTACGTGTAAAATAACACACCACAAAATAATACAAATCGCTACAAAGGTATTACAGAAACAGTACAAAAGAGAAATCTCAGTACAAATTCAGAGGCAATATGATACCAAAAAAAAGAAATGATTTTATAAGAAGGTAATATTCACCTCATTGCAACAATGGTGAAGTTTCCAAAATAGGCCCAGGCTGAGTGTCAAGGGTCAGTATAATCTCCACACAATTGTGATCTTGTAACTTGAGATATAATATGAGATGATAGGCAAGGGTTGGCTCTCCTTATACCCCAAAGAAAGAAGACTTCGAACATTCTCCAACTGCCTGAGTCACTATAAAGGAAAGGCCCATAGGGCTGTTGTGCGTGTAGTACCTTCCAGAACTCTGTCTCAGTATACACAAGTCTAAATATATCACACCGCCGTCCACTATTATACAATTTCATAGTCTCTGCCACTCAAAAATATGTCCCAAACGTCATTATATTTTACACAAAACGAAGTAATGAACATAAATATGCATCTTTGTTTGACAGTTCAGCTGAATTCATCATGGTGTTTCTCAACAGCTAACAGATTACACAAGTTTGATCATGTCTAGTTCGCTTATCATCGATTATTTCTAGTTGATGGGGGCTGGTCAAACTGGATCATTACCACAAGCGACTGTTCAGCATCTTGTGGAGGTGGATCTAGACGTGTCACAAGTACTAGAACCTGCACCAGTCCTGCTCCAAGAGACGGCGGTGCTGACTGTGTAGGCTCCTCCACAGACACATACGCAGAAACCTGCAACACAGAAGGATGCAATGGTAAAATCTTAGTCTATTCCCAACTTGGAGGCATAGACATACATGCATAGACTAAAATGTCACTTATTTCAGATTTTTACAAGACTCGTTCTGTTATGGAGGCAAAATTGTTTGTGAATTACAGGTTAACGTGATACCATCACTTTGCGGCCACGAGTTGGGTGAGGGGGTTCGATCAGTACCTGGTGCACTGCCGTTCATCCCAAAAGAAGTAAAAACATTATTTGTATTGTTTTAGATCCATGCAGTGGTTGCTGGTATGTCAACGGTATTGGGTACATACCTGACCCCAGCGACTGCTCCCGGTTTATTCAGTGCCAAGAACCCAGACCCGGCAATACTGCTATTTTCCATAGAATGCAATGTAGTCCTGGACTGTACTGGAACCAACAGCATCTGGTGTGTGATTGGCCAGCCAACGTCATCTGCACAGTGGAAGCTGAAGGTAGGGGGTTGCTCTCTACCCTCATAGTATAACAGTGAGTGAGTGAGTGAGTTTGGTTTTACGCCGCTTTCAGCAATATTCCAGTAATATCACGGTTGTGGACACCAGAACTTGGCTTCACACATTGTACCCATGTGGGGAATCGAACCCGTGTCTTCGGCGTGACAAGCGAACTTGTAACCACTAGGTTACCCCACCGCCCCATAGTATAACAAGGTACGCCGACTCAATATGTTTCTTCAAGTACCTCAGTGTCTGTTAGGATGATACGTACCAAATACAAGAATATTAGTAATATAATATATATCATTATGATTTATTATGAGTTGTTTATTCGACATTACCATGGGTTAAAGTTTAGGACCTGGGAATTTGGTAACTGTAAAGTACAGTAATCGTACTTTAGTTCTACCGGATGATGGGGCCAGAACAAGCCCTGAAACGTTGTACCAAACAATAAAATGAAGGTGAAACCCAGAAAAGTCTCTATGTTCATCAAATAGCATCTTCTAAAATGCCAACCAAACACCGTCACAAACAGCATGTCAATTGTTCACTTGACACAACACTGGGGTATATGGTTCAAAGTAAGGAATTGCGTGGGCCATAATATTGGACATGTACAAAGGCTTTTTGTTTCGCAAACCAAAGAAGTATTTCTTTCCATCACAGAGGAAGCATTTGCTCCATCGACTGCAGCACCATCAACAGCTGCTCCGCTGACATCCCTTCCCTCGTCGTTGTGCGACGGCTCCAAGAAGGCAAAGCCAGGAAATACAGCTCAGTATCAGGAACTGATACATGGAAACTGGATCACCAGATTCTGTGCTCCAGGAACTGTGTACTCTAACACAAGTTGTAGCTGCATCATCTGTCAGAATGAAGCGTCCCCAGGTATGTCTGCATCGCTTCTCATTGGGGTCATTTGCTACTTTCATACACATAGACAAACATGGTACTGCAAGTCTTACAGTAAATACATAATTTACTTAAAGGCACAATTTCACACATTTTCGACAAAACTTTGGCCTATATCATATATATATATATTGGGATATATGCACTCAACTTAGCTTCCTGTTGGTGCAATTTAAGACCTTTTATCCCTTACGACTTGCCTGAAATCGATAATTGAAACATCGAGGCTGACAGCTTCCAAACAAAAAATACTTGCCATGGAATGTAAACAATTGCTCCTCACATCGAAAACTGTCGCACGCGTTGTTGTCGATGTTGCCGATCTGGTTTCAGTCACAAGTTGTGCGTAGGATATTCGTGAAGAGAGCTCCAAGGGACATAACTCTGTTGGGTTCGCTTGAAATAATGTTCAGCCGATACGGGGAACGAGATTCGATTTAATGCAACGTTCCACTAATTCATTCGAACTTTAAAATTTAATATTGTAATATAAATGCGTATTTTTAAAAATAAATTATATGGTAGCTTTCCTGAGGGCTGATAGTTAGTATAATTGAGAGAAATGCATAGTTATTTTTGTGGTGTGACATTGTGCCTTTAACGTGATATCCTCACAACTGTAATTATATTAACGAAAGATGATACACGATGATCAAGTTATGGAAGTTTTGTCTGATGTGGATGCAAAACAAAACGAAATGAATTTCATTTTAGTTTGCCAGGCGGAGGTTTACCTTCCTTTCAACAGTGACGTGAACGACCATTCGACTAACCACCACTATGTACAAAACACTGGCGTTGTAACTACCAACAGTGGCCACGGCGTCTTCAGCAACAACACCCAACTCCGGATCCAACGGTTCTCCAACATGCATTTCGGGAAGACTCTGATCATCTCATTTTCGTTCAAACGCACTCAGGCTACAAGCAGAGCTCAGGCTATCGTCACCAACGATGACTGCGGGCATGGTGTCAGCATCTACATCACCACTCAGCGGTCAACCGTGCAGTTTCGTGTTGTCAATAGCAACAACGTTACGCATACTTTAAATGTATCGTACACAGTGAGTATTAAAAACGTTTATCATACACTCCATCATATCGTGTTCATGAAGGAATGATACCTGCACCCTGCCCTAATGTTGTGAATATTTGGCCAAGGTCTATAGCCTGGCATCCTACGCATTTGTTTGTGGTCGTTGCTAGCGTATCTTGGGTTGTTGTGAGGAATGGGGGGACCTAGGTGGGGCTGGGGTTGAAGTTGCCCATGGCGTCTCAGTCCGAATTCGATTTGTCAAGGGTCACCTGTGAAGCACACTTCTAGTTTCCTGGCCTTACTGCAACATTTGGTGCATGTCCAATGTCACCTGAGAAGCTGTAATGTAGATGAGTGGCTACTCCTGCCATAACATGCCTATATATCTCATTGAAAGTCGTTAGTCACTGTGAACCCCGTAAACAAAATGGACTATCGATATAGCCAATGGGTAGTTACGAATTGATAGTATCCGTTTCGAATTGTGTTTTCATACTGAAGTCGTCGTCTTGGTAGCTGCGTGTTTTTCATGTCTTAGTCATCCTTGCCGTTATCCTTATCCTTTGTGGGGGGTACGTTTCAGGCCACCACGTCCTTGAATGAGGTGAAGCTGATCGTCAAGGATGGACTGATGAAGGTTGAAGTCAATAACCGCAGATTACAGAGGACATTTGATGGTACGAACATTTGGAGTGGATCGTCCTTCAGAATAATACCTTTATCAAAATACTCTCTAACATAGTATGAGGCACATCGCTGAACCTCTTTCTACTAACATGTGCTCTGAATGTAAACATGGGACCCCTGATCACCATTGTTAACTGCTGCGGTGTTTACAATATGTTTACTGATATTAACATTCCTCACAACTGAGTAAGTGAGTTAAAATTGTACATCACATCGGCAATATTACAGCCATATAGCGATCATGACAATTGAACATTGTGCAGTACCCTCGTGGTATTACCAACTCCCCCGAGAAATATACAACATAATAGGCGCTCACATGTGAAAAGATACTCATTTGAAGCATTAATTCTATTTTGTACAAAGGTAAACGTCTCAATAAGGTAATTCTTTCCGTGAAGTGCCCATTCTTAATCTAGCCGTTGTCAGTTAGGTCTAGGATCAACAGGAACCGTCTATCTGATTGTTCGTGAAAAACATCGATTACATAGAAAAATATTATTTATCATTTCTTGAATATTTTGCAGGTAACAACGGGAAAAGCCAGTGTGCACTGCAGGTCGGGTACGGTGATGGCATGGACTTCTTCCACGGCGTCCTGGAAGAAGTATGTCGTTTACCTGTTCCTCATTATACATTTGTAGTGATCTCTTCAGGTGTAAGATTTAATATATGATATTTAGCTTTTATTTGCTTAGCCAAAACATAAATCGATGTTATCGGCGTGAGCTGACGTATTAGAATTAACGCTTCTCAAAAGATCACTTAGATCGACCGTGTATTATGGGAGAAAATACAAAGTGACACTATCTGATGAACCAAACAAACGAGGACGAACATTAATAATAATAATAGCCATCTTAAACGCGCCTTTTCAACAAATTGTACATGCTCAAAACACATTATTACCCCGGATAGCCAAGCTGCCTGTTAGGCGCTAGAAGGTTATTAGTCACATGACTTGTCCCACCGGGTACCCACTTTCTACTGGTGAACAGAGGCAGTTTTGAACAAACTCGCTTGCCTAAGGTGGGACCACATGATCCACATGTGCTTCGTTGTGGGGCAGGACACAAGTCCTAGAAACTCTCAGGAGTCAAGCTGCCAAACACAGTCACCTATTCAAGGACTGTCCGAGCTCAACGTTGTTTAATTTTAACTGATTTGTGACCTGAGCTCTATGCACATGACCACACGCCAAGTAGTGCATCTTGCTTTTATGTTTCAGTTCAAAGTATACATCTGCGATCCAGAGAGCCTGTAGTTGAACATAGTGTTTCATCAAGACCAACCAAGAAGTCAAAATGCCGTTTTTAATATCAACTCGCAGTATTAAACAGTATGGCGCATTGTTTTGTTTCTGTCATATTTGGTATGAATATAGCTTGAAGAACCCATTGTAGCTTTACGAGATACATACAACGTTATGTCCTTTAAGAGTATAATTATACTTATTTTAAAAACAAAAAATCGCTTTCCGTTTCAAGTTAGCCCGAGCAGTATGTTTTCGATAGGACAAGACACTGTGAGACAAGACACTGTAGCTCGCCCTGAACTGAAAGTTCAAGAGAGCATGACAGTCTGAATGTATGGTGTATACCAGTCTTTTGAAATCCCTTCAAACACCAATGTGTAGATCTTTAATGAGTCGAATTTCCGGTTGTTTCGAAGTAAAAGTTTGATCTCTACTTAATTCTTCTTTGGTCATAATTTACGGCTGTATTGAACTTCGTATAACTCGAAACATTTACAGGTTTACAGTCAATCGCCAATGTGTGGATCTTTAATGTGCCTGTCTCAAAATACAAGCTTTGTCCCTGCTTGTTTAATGTTTTAGTTATCATTTTGCAGTTTTGTCGAAGCTCGGATAACTCGAAGCAATCATCGACACAATGGTGTTTGACTGTATTTGAACCATGCATGACTGTACACATTTAAATTTGCTGAAGAAAGGACATATGTGTTGCTGAAGGGTTTCGAGAATATTGCCGTAATTTAACTTCCGTGAAGTGAGTGAGTGAGTGAGTTAATATTTAACGTCACATCGGCAATATTTCAGCCATATTGTGATGAGAAATGTTTTATATAAATAATAAATTAAAGTTGCTAAAGAATCAGTCAGCGAAGGACTGTAAAATAACTAGAGTATCACAGATGGAGTCTAAAACTAGCATGAACATGTAAAAATATTTTATTTGCGAAGACAATGCAATCTAAAAACGGGCCATAGATCGCCAACAACTGAAGGTAGATCACCATACTAGGAACCATGGGGACTTACATTACTTTTGCAACCTGCATGGGCCCTAGTTGGATTTATACCATCCCTTCAGCCATTGACGACAGAAGAGAAATCTAGCCATAAATTAAAAACACACTTATTCTACGATTAAAAAGCAGGTACACTTAGATTGACTAAATGTTTTGGGACTTACGTACCCTCTCAGGAGGACAATAATTTTACAATACTTCAACCCCCTTTGAGTATACAGCCACTAACAATCTCAGTTGCTAATCTAAACTACCAATAATAAAATATATATCTATTTACAAATCACTCAACAAATCTAATTTTTTTTTTAAATGTAATAATTAAATGAGAACTGACATTATTAAAAAGATCCTTCAGAGTTTTGGATTTGAAATAGTTATCCCTTGTGAAGGAATATTCAATGCAGTCAAGCAAGACATGCTTGACTGTGATCCTTTCATCACAAGGGATACAAAACGGAGGATCTTCGCCTTTCAATAAATATTCATGAGTATATCTGGTATGGCCAATGCGACATCGTCGCATAATGACCTCTTAAAATCTGGACTGACAACCCAAGTAGGTGTAACCAATGTAGGGTTTTATTGCATGTAATTTATTAATACCTACTTGGGTGTCCCACTTCTTTTGCATTAGATCGCGGATGTATGTTCTAATGCTGGCTTTATAATCAGAGTATGGGATAAGAAGTGGTGTCACAGATGTATTGAGGGCTGCCTAGCAGCAATTTCAGCCACCGTGTTCCCAGAAATGCCAACGTGGCTGGGTAACCAACAAAAGACGATGTCGCATTGGCCAGTAGCATGTTCATTGTACAATTCAATAATTTCTAATAAAAGTGGATGTTTGCAAGAAAGATTTTTAATAGCCTGAAGACACGAAAGAGAATCTGAAAAGATGATATAGTGTTTATATTTACGGTGTTTATTAATATATTTAAGAGCTGTTAAGATAGCGTTTGCTTCTGCTGTAAATATAGAGCTGTTATCCGGTATTCTAGAAGATATTGTTCGGGATCCAATAACAGCGGCACATGCCACTGCGCCACCATCCTTGGACCCATCTGTAAACAAGGATTTGTATGTATTATATTTATTTCTTAATTGACTAAATTCTTGTTTATACTGTAATTCATTTGTTTCTGATTTTTTAAATGTAGTTAATGTTAGGTCAACTTGTGGCCTAACCAATTGCCAAGGCGTAGAAGAAAGAAAACGGGAAGGAGCTATATGTTCTAGCTCAATGCCAGCAGCAGAAAGGAAAGGTTTCACTCTGATACCAAGAGGCGGAACAAGAGAAGGCTTCTTGTTATAGAGATCTTCATAGAGTGGATTAAAGACACAGTTATATGCAGGGTTTAACTCATAGTTTTGTAAAATATTTATAAAGTTAATTTGATACGGCGTTGTGTAAGAGATGGCTCATCAGCCTCGACGTAGAGATTGTCAACAGGAGAAGTTCGAAAGGACCCAAGACAAAGTCTCAGACCTTGGTGGTGGACAGAATCAAGTAGGTGTAGACTGCTTTTGCAGGCTCCACCATATACGATGGAGCCATAATCAAGTGACGAGCGGACCAATGAGCGATATAGGTGGAGGAGGGTAGTTTGATCCCTTCCCCACTTTGAGTTGGAAACAACTTTCAACAAGTCAAGTGCCTTCAGGCATTTAGTTTTAAGGGATTTAATATGCGGAAGAAAGGTTAAATGGGAGTCAAAAATTAAACCCAAGAGCTTGGTTTCCTTCACAACTTTGATGGGTGTGCCATTTAAAGATAGTTCAGGGTCTTTATGCGGTTTGTATTTACGGCAGAAATGAATACAGTTTTGGATTTAGAAAATTTAAAGCCGTTTTCAAGACACCATTTATTTATCTTGTTTAAACACAACTGCAGTTGCCGTTCAATAGTATGCATATTTTTACCGCGACAAGAAATGTTAAAATCATCCACAAAAAGTGATCCATCGATTGAATCATTTTAGACCTTGGATAAACTGTTGATCTTGATACTAAATAAGGTAACAGACAAAATACTGCCTTGTGGAACACCCTGATCCTGATTGTAATGGTCAGACAGGGTTGAACCCATTCGGACTTGAAATTGCCTGTCTTTTAAAAACTGTGATATAAAAAGAGGTAAACGACCCCTCAAACCAAAATCATATAAATCTTGTAAAATGCCATGCTTCCAGGTGGTATCGTATGCTTTCTCGAGATCAAAGAATATCGATACTGCATGTTGTTTATTAACTATTGCATTTTTGACAAAGGATTCTAAACGTACCAAATGATCAATGGTACTACGATTTTTCCTGAAACCACATTGAATATTTGTTATAAGGCTGTTGGTTTCAAGATACCATGTTAATCGATTATTTACTATTCGTTCCATGGTTTTACAGACGCAACTCGTTAAAGAGATTGGTCTGTAATTAGACGGATCAGTATGATCCCGGCCAGGCTTTGGTATAGGGACTACAATGGCATTACGCCACGAAGGTGGGAAATTCCCTGAAGTCCATATTGTGTCAAAAATATTTAGAAGAGTTTCCAAACATGATACCGGTAAATGTTTCAAGAGCTGATAGTGTATATTATCAGCCACTGTTGCTGTATCATGAGCTTGCTCAAGGGCAGTACGTAACTCATGCATTGAAATTATTTCATTGCAGTCTTCTCCATTGTCTGAGGTCAATTTAGTCTTTTCTTCTCCTTTTGTTTCTGATGTTTCTGAAACTCAGGGACATAATTGGATGAAGACGAATGCTTGGCGAGAGTTTCACCGAGCTTATTGGCAATGTCAGCCTTATCAGTTAACACATTATCACCGTCCTTTAAATGATGAACAGTAGATTTGGAACCTTTGCCCTTTATTCTTTGTATCATGTTCCACACCTTTGACATCGGTGTTCGAGAATTTATTTTGGAAACATAGTTTCGCCAAGACTGGCGTTTATTCTGTTTAAAACTGCGTCGCGCCTTGGCATTTAACATTTTAAATTTATCTAAATTATGGACAGTAGGATATCGGCAGAAATATTTTTCTGCTTTTTTCCTGCACTTTCTGGCCTGTTTACATTCGTTATTGAACCATGGTTTACGAATATGTGGAACCGCAGAGGACTGAGGAATTGTTCCGTCAGCAATGTCATTAAGGATATCAGAAAACGACTGAATAGGATCTTCACTGTTCCTAAAACGATCATGAGTTAATTGTTCAGCACACAGAGTCTCATATAATGACCAGTCAGTCCTGGCAAAGTTCCTTCTCGATAAAGGTGGATCATCACCAGGGTTGACTGTTTTGAGAATGGTGGGGAAGTGATCACTCCCACATAGGTCATCATGGACCATCCATTCAAATTCATTATACAAGCTGGAGTCGGCAATTGACAGATCCAGGGAAGAAAATGTTCCCGTAGCTGGATGTAGATAAGCGGGAGAATCATCGTTATATATACATAGGTGATTATCCGAAATACATTCCTCAAGGATTTTACCTTTAGTATTAGTATGGTCACTTCCCCAAAGCGGGTTGTGACCATTCAGATCGCCCATGATGAGACATGGCTTCGGAAGTTGATCAAACAGATTTTGAAGATCTGATTGTTGAATATTTGAAGAGGGAGGTATATACAAGCTGCATAATGTCAGAGCAATGTGCAGAGTGAGACGCACAGTAACAGTTTGAAGAGTCGTATTTAGAAGGATAGGGCTATGTATGACGCTCTGATGAACCAAAATAGAAGCGCCTCCAGATGCTCGATCTCCCGGACGAGAAAAAGAATGATAATCACTATAGTGTCTCAGATTAAAGCTATCTGTATTTTTAAGATATGTCTCTTGAAGACAGAATCCTGACGGATGGTGATCTTGTATGAGTAATTGTATCTCATTAAAGTTAGTTTTCAATCCTCTGCAATTCCACTGCAATAAAGTCGACAATTGAGTCATGGTGACTCAATTGGCGACCGTTCACGTGAATGGGAGGAGGAAACGCTCCTCTGCCTGTCCTGAGATGACAGAGTGACCTCCATATCAAGAGGCCCAAATGAATTTTGGAGAGAAACCTCCAGAG